TTCCTAAAATATGCTAAAATTAAACAAAATTCGTGTTGTAGATAAGATAATTTTATAATTAAAGAGAATTATATTTTCGAAAAAAGTTCATTATCGAAATAAAAAGAAAATTAAATAAAATTCGTAAATAGATATTTGATGTTTCGATCTCTGAACGATTTGTTTAATTATTTTATTTTACTTATTTTATAAATTTTTTATAAAAGCATACCTATATAACTTTGTATTTTATGTATCAATATTCTTATATATACAGTTGTATGATTACATTACAAACGAGTATACAAACATGCTCCCTAAAACATGCTCGAGCAAAACATCAAATCACATCTCGCCTTACACGTAAAGTACTTTGATCGAGACAGTAATACAATGATATTGCGACATGTATTGTACGAAGAATATCACGATAAAATAAACACTATTACTCACGCGTCAGCTTTAAATTATATCCGGTTGCTTATAAACGTTAAGTGTTGAAAGTATAATCAATCGCGAGCATTCGACGTGGTTACACGTCGTCACGTGGTGAACGAAGGTTGCTGCCACGAATACAAGTAGTGACGTAACGCATGGAATAGTGCCAGTGGATAGACCTTTATCGGTCTTACGATGTTTTTTTTTCTGTACGCCTCTCTTCGTGAATATTCGCTCATGCGGAATTACACTTTGGACTCGTCGATAAGAACGACTAATAGAGCAAAGATTATAAGTAAAAAAAAAAAATAAAATAAGATACACGGTACACGCAAGAATTTCACCTTAAAGATATCTTATTGCGCAGGAATCTGGTCAAATCTCGCTCAACGTCTCGTAAATATAATTCCGCCCATTCCTTAACTCGTTAAAAGATATGACGCAAATTGATGATGACGTTGTAATTAATTTGTGGAAAGCATATACGTATCCCTTGTATCTTGTATCAGGATACTGAAAAAAAAATTCTGGGTAAACCTGCATTTTGTGAAATATTTAGTTTTTATCGTCAAGTATAATAATAATAATAAAATATTTAGTAATAGTTATAGATATTTTAAAAAAGTATATTTTATGTTTAATTCAGTCTATTAAATGTTAACATTAAGTAAGTTATTTCTGTCTTAATCACCTATACGTTTATTTTTATTTAAAACTATTTCATCACTAATTGTGAGCTATGGTGAAATAGTTTCAACTAAACGTTTAATAGGATCAATTAAATGTAAAATATACTTTTTTAAAATATTTATAACTATTGCTAAATGTTTTGTTATTATTATACTTGATGATAAAAATTAAATATTTCAAAAAATGCATCTCATAGGTTTACCCAGAATTTTGTTTTCAGTGCAGCTTTTTCAAACGTTTTAAATACAGTCTTTCGATTGATATCTTTTTTTGTTTTTCAAGAGGGCAAACGGAGCCTCAATTTTTAAACATATAATACGTTCAAAGATAAGACATATTTCAGTTTTTTATTTGCATTTCTCCGTCAAGAAATATATTTAATAAGAGATATATTAAAATTAATTTTGTATCTGAAAAAAATGTTTATTTCTAATATGATTATTTCTCAATTAAAACATTATGGAAAAAAATGGATATACTTCACGCTGTTCATACAGTAAAGTGGATACGCATGAGCGTCCTTTGTACCATCGATCAATATTCCCGGATAGTTATCTGCATTAAGGAATAGCTGTGAACTTTGAATCTTGAAACTTGTGCTTGGGCCAAGGTTCGCGTTTTTGTATTATTCATAAAATCTTCAATATAAAGACATTCGCAAGAGCAAAGTGTGAAATATCTATTATAGCAAAAAAGATGTTTTACATTTCTTTATACATATATTATTTTTTCGTTCCATCATTTCATTATCGATATGACTCCATCGGTATTTGTTTTTAAATAAAAGGCACACAAGACAAAAAGATTATAATAATTATAAATCATAATTATAAATTTATTTATTTATAAGGATAATTGAGGGAGATCGATTCTTCGTAGCAACGATTAAAATTTATGCATTAATTTAGATTGATCGATCGAACATTGACACGGTTAGCTCACAGGAAAAATGTCTTCATACACAGAAAAAAAAATAAGTGTCAAATCAAAATACTTTTAGATACTTAAACTAACTCGCTCATTGTTTCGTATATACGCGACAATTTATAATCTTCTTAGAAGAATTTAATAATTTTAAATTTCAACAATTTTACAATCTTATTTTAATATTGTAATTGTCATCTCAAGAATATATAATTATTTAATTCTACTTTAAGAAAATTATAATCTTTGATTTAAAAATGTTATTTTCTATCCAACACTGTTTCCTTTCCATTCAAGAAAATTAAATCTTAAATCATAAGATATATTTTTCTTGATTGAACTACATAAAATGGCTTTATTCAGATAAACAATTATTCAAGCAATTATATTTTTCTTTAATTATTAACGCAGTAAAATCTTATTTCAAGATTTGTTAAAACTAAATATATTTCCAAAACAAGAAATTCCTTTTTTTTATATGTATATAGACTCTTAATCTCCTAAATAAAGCCGACAATAATAACGTCAGATTTAGATCGCGAAAACTCTCCATCGCGAATAACAGGCTGCGCTCGCGCCTATTGCACGCAATGCGTGCGTTCCGTCGCGGATTGACGCGTATATCGGGGTCAAAGTGCACTTGACCGTGTCAGCTGCCGCGTGGTTAACGCGATCATAAGGACCGCGATGGACAAATTGCGGACAACGTCGGAGAAGTCTTGCTTTCTCGAACAGATGATTTTGCAATGCTATGGAAGATCCATCCTCAGGATCGATCCCCCATTTTCTCTACAACGCGGGAGGCCTCTATTTCGCTTTGCATAACTGTACATTAAGGCACACAGCCTACATAAAGCTAGATATACATAGAGAAAAATATCATTCTACTGCCAAGAAAAGCGATTACTCAGTTTATTTTTCTTTGTTTAAGTAATAGTTTTCTTCAACAAAGAATATATTCTTGATAATAATCTTAAAATATATTCATCACAAGTGTTAGAAAATCTCATTATTATGTACTCAAAAGAAGAATTTATTTTCTCTTCAAGAATATTGTAAAGTTGTATCAAAGAAAAATCAAACTTATTTTACGTCAACTCTTGTAGTAAAAGCAAACCAAATTTTTGTTTTAATTTAATTCTTGACTAAAATACCGCACTTACTAAAATTCAGAATATATTCAATTAAATTTAATGCTTGTGGTAAACTTGTGATATATTTGCGGATATACAAACTTATGATATACTTGAAATAAATAATATTTACTTGAATACAGTATACATTTTTCTCTGCGTACTTACGAGGCATAGTTCGAATAGTCGTTATATCTCCCCCATTTAGTTGGTCGCATACAATGGATAAATCTTGATCCGTTGTAGTTTGATTACTTTTTATAGTGCGAAGATAAGCTACAACCTCTTAGACTAACAATAAATTTATTGCGTGTACATGCGAACTATAGTCGACCTCTCATTAACTTATGTCCAACTCCTCTGTTGGCATCATGTTTTTTTTTACGTAGTATATGTACATATATCAGGAATTACTTATGCGCATTTAGTTTCCTTGATACATATACAGGATTGGACGCAATCAAACTTGAATTTGTCACGTCACGTAAATACACCTATTATTCCATACTTGAGAAAAAATAAAGCACTTTTAATCAAGCAAGATTTAAAGACGCACAATTTTATTGCATGCTGCAACGGGAATATTTATATAAGCGATGATTTATATAAGATCTCATGACTATCAAGAACGAACTATATTTTTTAATAAACGTGCGAGATATGTAAATATGTAATATATCGATCGATGTATCATCGCACACACCAGAGATACGTCATGCATCATTAATATATGACATTTAAAGGAACAATTAATATATTTTTTAAAACATTTTTCAAAGAACAAACTACATTTTTTAATAATCGTGCGAGATATGTAAATATAAATTCCGATCGATGTATCATCGTACATTGAGACAAAAATCTGGTTGCATTAATTATAATTCTGGTAGATTCAATCAGTACGTCTGTTGAAAAATGGACGAACCAGAATTCTTGTAGGAATTACCTGATGAATCTGATTAATTTCTTCCTGTTAAATTTACCAAATTTTCTGATTAATAATACTAAACTCGCCAGCACCAAGTCGTCTAAAATTTTATCCATCTCAAAAGTCTGTTTAATATTCTGAATTCCAACAAGATTATTGGATAAACTCAATCCAGATTATTCAATAAATTATTTTAAATTCAATTTGTTAGAAATTAAACTGATAAACAGTGATGCAAGAAGAGGATGCAGCTCAAACACAATCAGAGAGCTAGCGTCCTCTTTCTGGCACTACTGCTCGTAAGAGAAAAAAATATACTTTGGATTTAATATTAATACTAGTTCTTTATATACATTTCATGGCAAAAGTTGAATACGAATTAAGTTAAGAGGCAAGCGAAGAAATTAATGTAACAAGAAATTTGATAGATCCAACCAGAAAATCCAACTAACCAAAGCCTTATAGTAAAATCTATTAAACGTTCTAGTTATAAAAAATCGAGTCTTATCATGATAACTAGAAATTCTTGTTTGATTTAGCCAAAATGCCTTCAATCATATACGTCTTGTACAATCAAACGATTTTTCTCAGTGCAGAGATACGTCATGCATCATTAATATATGACACATTTAAAGGAACAATTAATATATTTTCCAAAACATTTGTGTACACGAGAGATCACCCGTCTCTTGATCGGAACCCAGAAGATCCTTAAGCTCGACGAGTGCGTCGATAACGTTGAAAAGATCTGGCAGCCCTCGACATATCTGTGAGTGACGATCTCGAGGATCTTCACCGGCAGAATCGAGAGCCATTTCGACAAACATGACTTGAATGCACCCTTGCATGCTGCAACCCCGGAGTTGTTGACTAACTTGTGCCGACCTTGGGAATGGTTTTTCTTGCAGTGTGTCGATTAATCCGCATCGCAGAGAGAGGCACCCAGGCGATAAAGGGTGGCGATCTTGGAATTAAGGGCGACCGGATATAACGCCGCCACCATGATCGTGGACGATAAACAGTGAGTCCGTAGCGTATGAACACGCACGGGAAACATCGCTCGTAGATACATGAGCTTGCACCACTAAAACGTCACATCCCGCGGCCCCGCATGAGTTTTCTCTTTGCTGGATCCTTTCTCTATCGCTTTACGAGATACGATTCCTCTTCGCCCTCGAAGAGCGCGCGAAATGTCAAACTCGAGGTGTACTGACGAGTCTGCTGCTCATCGGTATCAGAAGGGCATCCGATATAAATCGAGCCTTTTCATTTATTTTACTCAATTGCTTATAGCATGTTATTTGTAGCACATATTTCTTTACGTAATCGTCTTCTACGTGTTGTCATTTTATTTACGATATATAAAAATGCATTTACAGCGGAATATATTTATATTTTGATTTATTCTTCTCTTGATATATTTTATTTTCTTCTCAATTCTCTTTTACATCGTTGTAGCGATGTTTCGAAAAAATTAGATAAATAATGCGTTGTGTATTTAGCTATTTTTCTGCCGCTTTGATTTATTATACCTCTGTTTCTTATTTCTAGCACGATATAAATTATTTTATTTTTTATGTTACTGGCATACGAATGACAAGATTAAAGATCGTTTTATTGAGCACTTCACTCAAATTGTGGCGAAATAATTTAAATCTCTCATACAAAAATCGAATATATTATAGAAATCAAGTTGAGAATCAACGTTGTTATATTTGTTTACAGGAATTTTTTTGTAAACATGCCTTTTTTACTTCTTTTCTAAAGAAAATGTCAACAAGGACATAATTTCGCAAATATTTAAATCAAATTTAAACAATTTTTTAGTCCTTCTAAAATTTTTTTTATTTAAACAATCATTTAGATTTGTAGTTTTTATTATATTATTTGTATGTCAAGATCTTGGATTTTGCATGATTGCGCGCGTGTTTGGATATTGTACAATATATCACCGGTGATATGTTAATTTTTAATATATACTAGAGAAAAATATGTTAAAATATGTTGATCTATGTCAAGTTGACATTCAACATATATTACAAGGTATAGATTTAATTCACATATTGATTTACATTCAAGGAAAGAGCTAAAGTACGATATTTATTTTTAATAGCTTTTCTTGTACCACACACATTTTTCTTTTTCTTTCTTTCTCTCTTCTTTCTATATTTTGTAATAAACATACAATTTATAAGAAATCGCGCATTAGATATAAGAACTTCATTATCTCTTTTATCTTGAATGCTATTATTATGATGTGTAACTTTTTTATTCAAATGTGAAAATAGATAATAGGATAGAATAGACGTAATGGTTTTTTAATTGCACAGGTGAATAATTTATAATATGTAAATATTTTATAATATGTATATGTTGATTCCTCACTATATTATATTACTAATGTACTTTTATTGCAGGTTTTATAATTTTATCTTATTTTTATTTTGTAATTCAGTTTTTCGTAAATAATTTTATCTTATCACATATAATATATTTATTTATTCAGATAAAATTTATAGTTAATTTAATTAAATTTTTTTTTCGTTGTCTCTAAACATGTCTTTGAATCATGTGTGTATCGTGAGAGAAAATGAAAAATTACATGTCTGTGAAGCTGACACGTTCTACGAATTTTAAGAAAATACTAAGAATTCTGATTGCACTTTTCATAGTTCTACAGTTTCTGATAAAAATTAAAAAGAGTTTCGCCTTTCCTTTATTGAAAAATCGACATTGAAAAAATATGCTAACTTTGCGAATCTAGCACGATATCCTTCCTTTTAAAGTCTTAAAGTTTCCTTCCTTTAATCTAACCAAAACGCGTTGAATATCATTATTTTTAGCAAGTTCCTGATGATTCTGTTCAAGTTCAGCCTATATACGCAATTTCTCTCAGATCGATATTCCAACAATTAATAATTTTCAATCAATTTTTAATGTTCTCAACCCTTAAATTAATAATTTTTAAACAATTTTTGAAATATCGAAATATCTAAAATTGCATATATACGCTGAACTTAAACAAAACTATCGAGAACTGTTACAAAAAATAATATGTTTCAACGTATTTTAGTACTTTAGAAGGAAAGTGTCGTGTTGGGTAATTATACCAAATTGTTTAAAAAATAGTAAACAGTGGGAATGCATAAAAATGTATTTAAAAGATAGAACTTTTATAGATGTCGAGAATTATCTCGTTAAAATAGCGTAAAATTATTCACACGACACATTTTCACTAAATGTCGGACATGAAGATCATATGAGGACATTAAAATTGATTAAAAATTATTAATTTGTGGAATATCGATCTAAAATTGCATATGTAGGTTGAACTTGAATAGAACTATCGGGAACTCTTGCTAAAAATAATGATATTCAATGTGTTTTGGTACTTTAGAGGGAAAGGGTGTCGTGCTAGATTCGCGAATTTAGCACATTTTTTCGATTTTTTAATATAAGAAATGCGAAAGTTCTTTTATCAGAATATAAAACTATGAAAAGTGCTATCAGATCGTTACCGCGATAATCCGAACCTTCGTCATAATTCCTATTCGTTTTATCGGATTGTAAAGTGGAAGAGGGAATTGTTTTTTGATCGCGAAAGAAAATTGTTATTCGGTGGGAATTTTTTTTTTTTGCCGTACGACAAATCATTAAAAAGACAACATATATACATATGCAGATAAAAAAATACGGCATTTAGTCATCCAGGCCTCTTATTGGACATTTGCAGTTTCTCCTTTGGATGTTCGCTCTTACGCACGTGGAAGATTCTTTAGTAGACACGCATGACGGCACAGATAAGAGTCGAAAGACTCCATTCGTTCGATGCGTGAACTCGCGACGTCCAAAGTCCGCGACGATATTGAAATCTCGATCGCGTGTTTCCTTCTCGGCGTCTTCCTTCTCAATACATACTTTGATCGTAATCATTATATGGGGTGATCTAAAAATAAAATGTCTTTTTTTATTGATAAATTCGAATCAATTTATCACGTGATATCGAAGTAAGAATTTATGAAAAAGTAAGATTTCATGCTCTTTTGATATCACGTTCGATCCTTATAATTTCAATTAAAAAACGCGATAGATATTCGTCTATTTATTACGCAAAGTCGAGTAAAGTTCAACTGTATATATATGATATCAATTAGTGATATGACTTGTGTTTATTTGATTTGCATAGTACTCGTAACGAATGTGTGCGATCACAAATGACGCGATATTGTTTAGTTTACACATATATGTTTAATAGCAAACGAAATTGAAAGGAACTCGATTAATAATTGTAGTGCGATGTGACCACTGACGTAACTGAACTTCGTATAAGAATGATGTAAAGTTCAGGGATGATTGTGAATACGAGATATAACGCCAATCGGAATAATAGAGTGAAAAAAAATCAACGAAATCTATATGCGAGTCCATTAATTTAAATTGACTTTGGTAAAATGATATTTTTATTACAATTGCGACTCGTCATGATGAAGTCTTGTGATTCAAGGTCTTTAAATAATTCTTTGCTTTATCTTTTTTTTGATATGATATAAAAATAATTCTAACTTAATATTCGTGTATTATAAGGCAATTGTTTACAATGTTAATATAATTATATAAATTATTTCATAAATTAAGAAAGATTAAGAGTTATATAAATTTTATGCATAATTTGTGTCCCACTAAAAAATTATTTCTTTTAGCGCACAATATTTTTTTTAGCCTTTAATGAGTGTATTAATGTTCAAATATCGGAAAATTTTAAAAGTCATTAAAAATACATCAATCTCGAAATGTATCTCGAAATATTCTCTTCACTCACCAGAAAATCGATCGTCAATATATTTGCAATTGAACAAGATATACAGTTGAATGGTTTTTATTCGACGTTCGTCGATTAAATGGAAATATTGTTTTATTAGCATCAAAAAGCAACAATACAGTATTTTGAAAAGAGATGTAGAGAAATCGGAATAATTTACTTAACCTTTCTAATTAAGTTCTTCCTATTAATTATAGAAGATAAATTTATAATTATATACGTATTTACACAATCATAGTCTCTATTACATGTCTCTATTACACTTATCTTGCTTCGATGATTTGTTATTTTTATTACTTTATCAATCTTAATGTTATGTATCTACTTTATTACCAATCTTAATGTTATGTATCTATTTGCAAGAATTTATCTTTTTTCTTCTACGCATTTAGCATGATAAGTGTTGCAATTATATAGCTATTCTACATAAGATAAATAAAGGCGCTTAATTGTTTGACAAATATTCCAAGGAGATTATTCCCATTGATATTGACTATCGCTTATCGATCTGGCATCATATTGCTTTATTATTGATATGATACGTATATATTTGCATGACTTCGACCGTCTTTATTCCTGTTTACGCTTCGATGCTGCGCAAGTAACGCGTGCAGATAAATAAAACTCCTGATAATATAAAAAATCAAACGAGATATCAAAATGAGATAAGAGAATATAAATAACTAACTGCTCGAACTCTTTTTGCAAGAATTATAGAATATTTTGAAATTGTATACAATTAATAAATTATTATCGAATTATATACAATTAATGTTTTTCTTTTTTTTAAGAGATCTGAGAAAATGAAAAGTTTATTTGTTAGTCTACTTATGAATTGCAAATTTTTGCACTTGTTTTTTTATGTTCTTGCATCCAATTTTCACAAATACCAAATGTTAATGTTTGACATTAACATGAAAATGTCTAAGTGGAAATATTTAAACTATTTCTTTATTTATCAGGGAAATGGAAGGCTTCTGGATCAGCGGTGCGATCCACGCGATCAAGGCTCTATCGTATGTGTACGACTTGTTGACGTTCCCCGTATATCTCATACTTCAGCGACCCTGGGAGAAGCGCAAGGCTTCTAGGAGAATCAAGGCTCGTCCGATATCTAAGGATGATTGTCAGGTCACTTACAGAAGCGTCGATCCCCCGGGGTCGATGCACATTATGCTTGAACGTGAAAAGGTCGATACTTTGGAAAAAGTACTTCTCTGGGTTGTTAAAATGCACGGTGACAAGAGATGTCTTGGTACCAGGCAAATCTTAGCGGAGGAGGATGAGCCTCAACCTAACGGTAGAATCTTCAAGAAGGTGAGACGCTCGGATGAATAACATTAATTTTTTTATCTTCATCGAAAAGTCCTCATCGACATTATAAAAAGAAATTTTACTTAAGAAGAAATCAATCAACATCAGCATTGAACAGAAATTAACTTTATATCGTGAAATTTCATTTATTTTGTAGTATAAAATGGGAGAGTACAAATGGAAATCTTTCAACGACGTCGATAGGTTGGCCATTTCCTTCGGTCGAGGTTTAGTGGAACTGGGTATGAAGCCACGCAAAAATGTCGTTATTTTTGCTGAAACAAGAGCAGAGTGGATGATTGCCGCACATGCATGTTTCAAACAAAATTTCACGGTGGTAACCATTTACGCGACCTTGGGTGATGAAGCCATCGCTCATGGTATTAATGAAACCGAGGTGGATACTGTCATTACTAGCCATGATCTTTTGCCCAAGTTTAAGCGGCTGCTAGAGATGGTGCCAGAGGTCAAGACGATTATTTACATGGAAGATCAACTCAAATCGACTGATACCAAAGGCTACAAGGTAATATTTTCAATATCATCCAATATAAAAATTAGCATTTAATTTGTGAATTTGCGCGTTAAATTATGAATACAGAAAGTTTCAATTTATCATTTTCTTTCTAAACAGTGACATAATAGTATTAACGAAATAGCGCGAAAAATATTATTAATTCAAATAATTGATTATTAAAGTGTCCGGAAATTAAATGTATCGGACGGTAATATTTCAAAAATTTATATTTGCCATAATAATTATGGCATTAATTATTATTATGCTATTTACGTAATCATCAATAATGTGCTGCTTATAATTAATGTAACAGTAGTATAGCTCAACTGGCTGGACTGGGCTGCACTTCAGAAGTAGGTTATCTTTTTCCTGCCAATGTAGAGTAAAAAAAGATAACTTTTGAACTAATGTAGTCCAAATGCAACTAGTTCAGCTATAAAAAATATTTGTTATTTTTTTCTCTCCTTTTTTAAATATTCTTCATCATTTTTTTTTGTATTTTAGGAAGGGGTGCGGCTGGTACCCTTCTCCGATGTTGTCAAAATGGGCAATGAATCAAAGGCGAGCAGTACTTCGCCAAAAAGTAGTGACACGGCCATAATTATGTACACGTCTGGTTCGACTGGAGTACCGAAAGGCGTAATTCTCTCTCATAAAAATATCATAAGCACCCTGAAAGCGTTCTCTGACGCGGTACAGATTAGATCGGACGATGTTTTTCTCGGTTTCTTACCATTGGCTCATGTTTTTGAGCTTTTGGCTGAAAGCGTGTGTCTTTTGAACGGAGTACCCATTGGTTATAGCTCGCCGCTTACACTGATCGATTCAAGTAGCAAAATTCAAAGAGGATCAAAGGGTGATGCCTCCGTCCTACATCCAACTTGCTTAACCGCGGTACCGGTGAGTATTTTTACAGATTTTTAACTGTTTAAGGATAAAATAAATTAAAATAAACAAAGTTAAAGTTAAAGCTCCTCTAAATTAACAAATCAAAATGAATAGTAAAAGGCAGTAAAGAGCCAACGCAGTTGTAGGGCGTGGATAAAATAATTTCCAAGACGGCAATTCAATTTTAACGATCCTTTCGCTTTATTCCAAACGGACTCAATTCGAGCCTTCTTCAGTGATTCTAATAAACACAAAGAAAAGATAAATAAATCAAATGAGACAAAAAAAAATAAAAACGCAATATCAATAAAATGCAAGAGAGAGGAAAAAGCATAGTCACATGTATGCAGGATCTATAGGAGCGACGCGACTTCGTCAAGGCTGATCCATCTGAGAAAGCACGATGCAAAAGGCCCTCTCAGCAGTACAAAGCGCGAAGAGCGATGCACTGACAAAATAAATAAAACCAAAACTAGTCACACGTCTTAAAAAAGAGAGAAATTCATTGACGTTAATTAAAGGCCACTCACTCACTCGGACAAGAGACAGAAACGAAACGAAACAATCGCCACGCCAACAATCGAATAGGTCGATAATTCGAACGGCAAACGGTAATAATGTCATATTGTGGTCGGCAATAACAAACTATATATAAAGAGGACAAAACCAATCAAACAAAAAACAACCCGTTAAATCTTAGGCATGTTTTCAATTATCGACAGACACGAAGTATTTAATTTTAAAGTATCGCTTTGGAGATTCAACGCATTCTTTTGGCGCTTAATATAAATCATTTCAGATATTAGTCTTTTTCCTAAAAACATTTCCTCATCCAAAATCTCGACATCATCGAAATCAAAGGTGTGATTTCGATGATGTCGAGATTTTGGATGAGGAAATGTTTTTAGGAAAAAGACTAATATCTGAAATGATTTATATTAAGCGCCAAAAGAATGCGTTGAATCTCCAAAGCGATACTTTAAAATTAAATACTTCGTGTCTGTCGATAATTGAAAACATGCCTAAGATTTAACGGGTTGTTTTTTGTTTGATTGGTTTTGTCCTCTTTATATATAGTTTGTTATTGCCGACCACAATATGACATTATTACCGTTTGCCGTTCGAATTATCGACCTATTCGATTGTTGGCGTGGCGATTGTTTCGTTTCGTTTCTGCTGGTCTCCGAGTGAGTGAGTGGCCTTTAATTAACGTCAATGAATTTCTCTCTTTTTTAAGACGTGTGACTAATTTTGGTTTTATTTATTTTGTCAGTGCATCGCTCTTCGCGCTTTGTACCGCTGAGAGGGCCTTTTGCATCGTGCTTTCTCGGATGGATCAGCCTTGACGAAGTCGCGTTGCTCCTATAGATCATGCATACATGTGACTATGCTTTTTCCTCTCTCTTGCATTTTATTGATATTGCGTTTTTATTTTTTTGTCTCATTTGATTTATTTATCTTTTCTTTGTGTTTATTAGAATCATTGAAGAAGGCTCGAATTGAGTCCGAAACGTTTGGAATAAAGCGAAAGGATTAAAATTGAATTGCCGTCTTGGAAATTATTTTACCCACGCCCTACAACTGCGTTGGCTCTTTACTGCCTTTTACTATTCATTTTGATTTGATAAAATAAATTGTTGTATGATTTTATTTATCAGCAAGTTTTTGTTTTATTTCAATATAAGTTTAACTGCAAGTTGACTAAACATAAAATATATATTTTGATAAATATTAAAAATTTGAAAAATTGTTTTAGCTTATTCTCGATCGCATCTCTAAAGGAATAAACGAAAAAGTGAAGAAGTCTGGTCCGTTTAGGCAAGCCATCTTCAATTTTGCATATGAATATAAGCTGAAATGGACAAAGCGGGGCTATGAAACACCTCTCTTCGACAAGTATATTTTTGGAGCTGCGAAACAGGTGCTTGGTAGTCGCGTTAGGCTTGTTCTTAGCGGAGGCGCTCCTCTCAGTCCAGACACTCACAATCAAGTGAAACTTTGTTTATGTGTCACCGTAACTCAAGGATATGGTCTCACGGAAACGAGTTCTTGCGCAACTGTTATGGATAGTACGTATTCTCAGTCTGTCTAATGACAAGAAGCATTTTAATAGTGTAATCTTCATTTTTATTCTTTATTTTTCACTTTTAGTGTATGATAGAACTACCGGAAGAGTTGGAGCACCAACTACGGTTTGTGACATCCGTTTAGAGAATTGGGAAGAAGCCGGTTATCGAGTTACAGATCATCCACATCCCAGAGGAGAAATTGTAATTGGTGGCGATATTGTTTCCGCGGGTTACTATAAACTGCCGGATAAAACGAAGGAAGATTTCTTTCAAGAAGACGGCAGACAATGGTTCCGAACGGGCGACATTGGCGAATTTCATCCGGATGGTTCTATTAAGATTATCGGTACGTCGCAAAAACTATGTTGTAGCATCATATTTTTTCATTTCTATAGGATAATTTTATACTTATTATTAATTTCGACATCTCTCGACAATTGATATTTTACAGACCGGAAAAAGGATTTGGTTAAACTACAGCTCGGTGAATACGTTTCCTTGGGTAAAGTAGAGTCCGAATTGAAGACTTGTCCCGTCGTGGAAAACATTTGTGTCTACGGAGATGCGAATAAAGCATATACTGTGGCGCTAGTCGTACCTAATCAACAATATTTAGAAGAAATAGCTACAAATCAAGGTATAACCGGAAAGAGTCTTGAGGAACTCTGTAACGATCCACAAATCGAGAAAGCGGTACTTCAAGAACTTGTGGAGCAAGCAAAGAAATGTAAGTTTTCATTTATTTATTATTGTTATTCTCGCGCTCTTTATAGTGATTAATTTATTATCATTGAATGACATATTATTATTGTTTGTAGGCAAGCTTCAGAGATTCGAAATACCTGGTGCAGTCAAATTATGCGCGGAACAATGGTCTCCTGACATGGGTTTGGTAACCGCGGCATTTAAACTCAAGAGGAAAGCGGTTCAGGAACGTTATCAACATGAAATTAATAGAATGTACGCTTCGTGATGTTCCGCCATAGGGTGTACCAAATGCTGCGTATAATTATGGGGATAAATCTAAAAAAAATCATCTTGTCCACAGTAGACGGTACCTCGATAATCCTCAAATATATATAAGGTACGTCATAAGCTCATGTCACACCGATTATGCCGTATGTGGCAGGCTTATGGTATTCGCATGTGCAATCGTAAAAACAGTTTTGATCCATCGACATTTGGCAAATTATTGTCGTGGATTCAGTACAATGGGGTCAAGAAAGTCGTTCGGAATGCCTCGAGATCTTTCGATCCAAAAATGAAAGTATCGCCTCTCGCATTTCTTCGTTGAGTCTTCCGAGCATGACAAATTTTTCGTAATTTTTCATTGATATCAGTTGTCATTGTAAGTTGAATATTCGACTTTGAGTAGTGGAAATCAATCCAAAGATGGAATTATGCATCATTAGGTATCAATTTTACATGAGCATTTTATCGAGGACAGTCGAAGTTAAGATAAGTCATATTGTAGCGATGTTGATAAGAAACAAATAAATGCTGCAAGATGACTGTTCCGTTAAAAAGAAAAATTGTTGTCGTCTCCTACTCTCTCTGCCTTTATATTGATTATTTTTATTTTTAATTATCTCAATCGATTCGTCGTGCCTACGTGGAAGTAGTGTATCTAATTGTTAGTATGTTATGGGCCAGTCATAATATTTTTGCGAGCGAGCTAATTTGTCTAAGTTCATAACTCGTACGGTGTACTTATTTTAAGTATTATTCAAAATCGTCGAGTTCAATCATGGAAATGGATGTATTGGAAGGGATTTTCTTCGAGTGCTTTGTTTTGCGAATAGTATGACATATGTATATATAGAGGAAAAATAAAAAAATGAGGCTGTTTGTGTTTGACAAATGTTGATATAAAATCAAGAGGTAATTTCCATAATTAATGTATTATATATAATTAAATTTCTTTCTATCTCATCGAATATTATCTTAATACATTATTATGCTACGTCTTATACCATCTGTGTATAGTACGTCGACGTATTCTGGCTACTTTTTGAAATATTAATTCAAACATTACAATATTTTTCTCAGCAACAGGATTGTATTTGTGTGTGTGTATGTATGTATATGTATGATTGTATGTATGTATGAATGTATGAATGTATGAATATATGTAAGCGTGTGATTATTTCATTACTGTATGCTTGCATGCACATATATTTATAAGAAAAAGATTAGAAAGTACGTACGTGAGCTTATGAAAAAGAATCATGTTTAAAAATCTTTTCTTTTAATCTCTCTTGTGCATATCTCTGACGGTTCGAATCGTACATTTGTATATATATATATATGCTGTGTATATACGCATACTGTTTATATATAGTATCAAGTATCTTAAAAAATATATCTATATAAATATTTTATTATCTAATTTATAAGAATGTGAAATACTTTTCTATCACGTGACTAGATATCAATTCAAAATATACTACGGTATATTAGCTTATTTTTTAAATATTTGTGCAAGATTTATATATATATATATATATATATATATATATATATATATATAATGTTATCTTGACGTTAATTAAATTTAATATAATTTATTAGTGTAGTTTATTTGCACATTCTCGCATATTCTCTCAATGAATACGAACCGACAGAGAAATAAGTGCATCGTCCAAGAAACTTGATACCATATAAAGTTCAATCGCGTAATATACGTGTAGCAATTAAGTTAATATATGCGTTCACACAGAAGCTTAATGTGTTTCTCGTATATTTTTCTGTTTTGTCTTATGATGGAAATTACAGTCAGTAGAATAATGGAGTAAGGGCACGAAATGAATTAGGAATTAATAAAAGCCAATTATTAAAGGGCAGCTTGCACACAACACACTTTATTTCATTCGCCACGAGTTCCTGCGATAGTTAAGTGTATGAAAATTGGTACTAATCTCTTATTCGTTATTAAGCGTTGTACATTACTTAGATAGACATGATCAATTGTCAGGTGTTATGGCATCACAAAATATAATAATTATTAATATGATTGATAGCATTATTATTATTATTATCATTTGGAAATGATTTACAAAATAAATGTACAAAGCTGTATATCATACTGATTTGAAAATGTCTCTGTTATCTCTTTCATTATCATTTATTCCATTTCCCAGATACATACAAAGTGTATTTATTCGATAAATTTTCTCATAAAAACCTCCTAACAGTTAATTAAACAATTTTCGAATAAAATTTTATATTCTTGATTACGTCACAAAATATGTCTTTGCTAGTTTAATGTTATTTCTTGATGATTATTATTGACGATATTGCTTCGATAGTGATTTTTAAAAGACGCTTTTACTATTTAATACTTAACTAATTTAATCAGTTTAATTAATTGTAAAGGAAAAGAAATTATGATAGAAGAATTTGATATCATATAATAGTTTATTCATTACAAACGCACAAATGAAGAAATAGTACGTCATTAATACATATAGCGATCTATCAAGTTGGTCATTTGTAGATGTAGTATCGCACGGCATCTCTTCTACTTTTGATAGAGATACAAATTATCAAGTGTATATAATCGTATAATATGCACAAAGTGTGCCGCTTGTACGTTGAATACAATAATACTATATTTAAAATCTATAAAATAAGCGCTATGCGCTTTGCAAATGTGCGTGGAGCTCTTTGTTCTTCTCGATATTATAAAATACGTATAAATACGTATATATTTAAAGTCCACGATAGTGGATTTCACGCGCGAGGAATATTTACGTGCGAGGTCACCGGTCGTGTCAAGACTCTCCAACGCGAGAGCCACTCGAATTAATTAATAATTCCACCAGTCGAGTCTTTTTTATTATCTCAATTTTGATTAAAATCGAATTATGGAATCTATTTGTTATTCATACAGTTACACGTAGATATTACAGCGACTATATAAACGCAAATTTTCAATAGATATATACAATAATGAAGAGATTAAAATATTTAATCTTGAACAAGTTAACTCTTGATGTTAAAATAAATTTTCTTTCCAGTCCATTTCGCGGATTAGAATATACATATAATTATAATATAAATCTACAAGAATAATTGACTATTTAGATAAAAATTCACATTATACAATGATATTTATATAGACTGTAAATATTGAGAATACAAGTCTACTTTTTTTATATTTAAAGACAAATAAGCCATGTATTAACTCAGGTATTTTCACAAATAAAGAATATAATACACGTTGAAAAGTTTATTCTTATTTTTATTGTTTCGTTGTTGATTGACAACCGGCCGTTTCGCACTCATCAGATTCTTCTAACGTGTTATCCACAATATTTTTTTTTATTCACGTCACAACAATATATATAGCTCTCTAACACATAGAATTCCCCGAAGCTATATAATTCTTTTTCGAATTGTGATACATTTATATATTTCTTATACGAGAAACATTTTCGCAATTACATGACAAATTTAAAATTAATTTTTGTGTAAGGGACAGACAATTATCATTTGTTGTAAACCTTTAGCTTTCAACAAATATCTTTATATAATTGCGTAAAATCTCTCGATTCTTTAAAAAACAAGGCTTCAGGAAAATTCTCTGCTCTAACAACAAATATTCATTGTTCTATATGTATTAGTTTTTCTATAGGTTGATACCTTCAGATCAAGGCTCAAGTACAATCTCAGTTCGGAAGTACATTATAGAATTTGGTCAGAGAAAATTCTTACACATTATACTGAATGAATCGTAGTCTCGAGATTAGCTAAAGTACTCCATTAATTACGTAGATGTATCGATGAAGTCCAAATCTAATGAGAGTGTACATATACGCCATAGAGGAAATCGTTTGGACGTATCCGATGTTTGTGCAAAAACAAACGCGTACAAAGTAAATATTACTTGCGCAAAATTGCTCTCAATTCTCGACGCTTCATTTTAAGTGTAAAATTTCCGCAAAACTTTAGTTTTTCACTTAATTATTGCGTTAACGAGCTCAACTTTGAAAATTTGTTGTCGAAAATTATTGTCTTCTTTAAAATTACTTTAAATATTTTATGAGGTTCTGTTGAACAAGAATCTTTATTTATGTACTCAAGTGTTTATATTTTATTTCGAGATCCATTTATAATTTAAAAAATAATATTTGTAGATTGTAATCTGTATGTATGTATTAAATCATTAATTTTTTAAAATAATTTGATAAACCATTTCTTTTTCTGACTTTAAAATTTCATTTTCCCTTTTTTTGAATATGTTTTAAAAATTGAAAAAACTGTATGGAAGGACAGCGCGATTGAAAGTAATTTTCAAAGCTTTACTCGTAAATATACGCGCGTTTTTATAGAAAATTGTATGTTCCACGGAAAGAAAGCATCAGTTGCAAAAGACTTAATAATGCGAAGTGCTGTCGAAGTATTGATTGAAACGTATAACAGAATGATTTCTGAAGGAATGAAGCAATTTTCTATAGTCATCGGATAAAGAGCAAAAGAATACGAGATTGAAAATTTTATTGTAATGTGATAATATTACGATATAAATGGATCTCGAAGCGTGAAAAGCACAGATAAAATTAATTATGATAAATGATTGATGCGATCAGGACTATCTAGCCTAATATAAAGTATAGATCTCTTGCATTTTGAAAAAAACATAAAGCCCGTAATTAGAGTATCTGTGGAAAAAAAGAAGACAAAGATTTTCGATTGTTATAAATCATTTCTTTGTTATAAATCTTTTCGAATGAGACTTGTAGCCTTTGTAATTTATGGCATGATAAAGGATCAAATTGCGCGATTCGTGAATGCTCGTGATACGTAATAGTCGTAAATCACTGCAATTTCATTGGAAGAGAGAATTTTCTGCTTGGGAGCTCTTTGATGAGACTCTTTTATTTGTCCCAAGCTGAAATACCAAATGAGTAACAAAAACGACATTCCGAGCGGCAGCATTCTCGTTCACAATCAGAATGCCCACATAATTCAATTGCTTAAAATAGACATTAAATATATTACATAAAATATATATTAATTGTTAGTTTCATACTCAATGAGAAATATGATTCAAATTGTTACATATTTTAATAAATTTTTCGAAAAATATTAATAAATCACATGCTTGTTGTAAAAATACTTGAATTGGAAAAGAATCACTAAAATCGTAAGAATTCAATATTATTGTAAAAATCGAAAGTGCATTTTTATAAAGTTGCAATAATAATCGGCAATGCAGTGAAGCTCTATTTTTCCAAATTGAGGATTGTGTAATTCTAAAGTCACATTGAATTTTTTTCGATCTTATTCTGATTATTTTAATTCTCGCGAGCTTCAAAATCGAGAATTTGTAGTAAAAAATGAAAAATCCTTTCTCTTTTATTAAAGTCAATTTTTCTTTTTGTTCGACATTTAAATTTGCAAAATTACATATTTAAAAATTACATATTTTCATCAATATCAATTGATTTTAGGGCGTGTCTTTCTTTTCTTGTTCTGTTGATTTGTTCTGTTAAGCAGTTAAACTGCCTAGCACATAATCGTCCTTCATTCTGTATGGCGCGCTTAACTAGTTAGTAATCTGTTGTCGTCTTTTAGAAACATTGTTTTAATACTGTTAGAAGATCTTTTCGAGGATACGTATAGACAACAATAGTCCATGGATTACACGCTTACACATACACCACGCCACTAGAGATACAAAGCTCAAATACGTTCAGAAGAAATCACAATTTATTGAACATCAGAGTACTACTACTTACGGTGCTGTTTTCAAACAGCCGCTATTACGTGTTGCAAATCCGTGTTGTCCTTTCTTTAGGTAGACACTTTCATCAAACTTTTAAGTCTTTAAGACAATTTCTTCCTTTCTCGAAAATCTCTTTATTTCTTGTCAATGTAATGGTGCGAAAAGTATCCTCTCTTACAGGAAAAGACCAGGCTACAATTCCATAACGCGCGATATCAGCTGAATACGCATTACGCGAACGAGATACCGAATGTATTTCACAAAGAGGATAGGAACAGAATGGTAAAACTTTAAATTTAAAGGAGAATCGATATTCCTCCTTCTAAATAAGTACCTCGTTCTCCCTAGTTTTATAATACACGCGATATATATTCTTCCTTCGGTATATTTTGCAAGTTTGACCGATTTAATTTCGATAATTTCGAAATATCGAAATCTTTATTTAAAAATTTTTATCTTTTTTCCTTCAACTGATTTTTTTTTTTAGAAAGGAGATATAATTTAAGATTTTTTATTTTGATGCGTGTAAAGCTGCATTCATATTGCTTATGTTAATGTAGCATATACTTTGCATCTATGACTTTCGTATGACTTCCAGAGGCTTTTCCTCTGTAACAGAGTACGCAAGAATTCAGACGGTGATGTAGTAAGCCCGTGGCTTGCCTCTCGACGAGGTTGGACTGAATAGTATTCCCGGTGTCGTCGGGCTAAATGACCAGGACGCCCACGAAGGCGGCGGAAACATACGTCAGGAGGTGTAGTATCCTTCATGTCGCTTGCGACATTTTTCACGGGCGATGTAGCACAGCGCTATGGTGATCAGGATCGCTATGGTGATCCCCATACCTATGCTGATCCAGATGATCTCCTCATTTATGCCACTGTAGCCTTTTCCTAAAACCACACACTGAATTTATCTCGCAATTGTATTATATTTTCTTTTTACACGCTTTTTACACGCTTTTTCTGATGCGATTCAAATGGTACAATTCTTTCTTGAATAGGAAACCTTTGGATAAGTCTTTTTGTCTGTTATAAATGTAAAATTTTGTGGCATGTAAAAAGAAGGGAATTTTATCATTATGAAAAGAGAATATCACATTAGTTTCTTCATAAAATTAAAGCGATACATGTTTTTATAATAATATTTTATCACGATGTTTTTATAATAATATTTTACCACATGTTTTTATAATAATACTTTTACCACGATACAAAATTGTACACTTAAAAAAAGCGTAAAAGCATGATTGACATGCAAGGAAACATGATTTGCGAAAACTTTATTCCATATATTGTTTCCATTTTCATATTCATGTTGTATTTAAGTTTGTTGTAAGCTATCTTTATAACTTGTCGCTGTATGAGACCTGGTTTTCCGCTTGTCATAACAAGTAAGCTTGTCTCGTTTTAAAATGAACTTGTGGAAGATTGATTGAGAAAGATATTTAGATATGAGCTTGCGGTGGAAGCACAATTTAGGAAGATTTAGGAAACATAACGTAAGCTTCTTCAATCTAAACTCAAGATCCTATATACAAGTTCATCTTAAAGCTACGAATACTGCTTTCGTGGAATTGTTTCTCGATGAAATAATGTCGCGTTTTGCATTAAATTTTATAAAACGAAAATGTCACACATTTGTTTCAATTTAAATAATTTTATTTTGTCATGTGATTTAAATCTTATCGTCTGAAAGGAATTTGTGCGCTTTAATATTTTAAATCTCCATAAAGATCGATGATCATGTTGAAGTAAAATTTGAAACAAATACTTGGAAAAAATCCAATCGTTAAGTAAATGCTGAAGATCAAGGTGAAATGTTATTTGTAAATTATGAATGAAAGAGAGAAAGAGAACCTGGCCCAGCTCACTGCCAGCTGGCCCAGGATCAACATATTTGTAAATTATCCACTAAATCAGCGCAATTCCGGTCACATTATTGATTACACTGACAATTTTATCCGTTGCTGCCAAAAATGAGCCTTGTAACTATCTAGGGATTTGTGTCATGTGATAGAAGATTGTTTTTCCAGTTGTCTAACGTATTATAGTGGCGTAATAATTTAGTATTGTGTATATGCACAAGCTTTTATGAAATATGCTCAATTTTGTATGCCCCAATTCAGTTTATTCGAATCTTTCATATCTCTTGCATATTTTTAAAAGAAAGAATAAATGTAAAATGTGAATTTGTCAAATATTGATATATATGACTTTATTTTATGTAATATATGAGATATATCTTGTGTAGAAAAATTATATATTATAGAAAAATATCTTGCGTAATTAAAGCACACTGAAAATTCACGCAGCCAAGCTTTGAAAGAAATAAGAAGACAACATTTCAAATAACAATTAACAATTTTGAAAATAAATTGTGTATTATAGTAAAATAATTTTAATATGTTATAGAAAGACATGAAAAATAACATTAATATATGCATCCTCTTTTTTTCTTCGAAAGGACTTTAAATTTACGTTGAGAAAAAAAATTTAGTACTAAAAAATAAATTTATTTTCGCGATATATATGTCGCGAGAATATAAAAGAAATTATTTTTATTACTGAAATAATATGAAAATTTTTCATATATTCATGCGCGATATAATAATACTATAGTTGAGAAAGAAAAGTCCTCTCAACAATTGAACAGAATTACGCCACCAACTGCTAACAGTTTGTTTCGCGCCACAATCATACCGAAGCAATTTCTGTTTACATTCATTTACATTGATAAATGCACAATGACGAATTTACGTGCGCAGAATGTCACCGTTAACATCAAAAATTGCTTTGGTGCCGACGCGGCCATCATATATACCTAATAGAACGATATCCACATCCACATTACCATTGTAGTGGGAGCTGTATATCCCGACTTTACCAGCGACTCGTCCACCGACCGGCATCTTTATATATTTTCTTCTCGATTTGTCACCTAGAAAGGAAATCTCCCACTTTATTGCAGACGAGGATTTAAAAGATACGGAACTGGAACGCGTAGTAATGTTTTCCCTTCCTTCCTGCTTCCGTTTACTTTTATCTTTTTTTAATATTATATATTTCATTTAATTTCCTTTTTTACCTTTCGCTTTTTCCGAAAGCTTTTTCTATTGTGTGTCTTATTATTTCGCAAATATAATATAGGAGTCTCTTGTTTAAACTCATCTTGTTTAAACTCATCTACTGTAAATCACAATTATTAAAACGTATTATATTTTATAAACTCTCTATGTTATAATTAATCAATTTTTCTAAGAAATTAAATAATGGAATTTATTCTTTAAGTCTTTATAAATTATAGACTAATTTATAAATTTGTTTTTTACTTCTGATATTCCATGTATAATAACGTGTAGAAAAAGTCACATTACATACATATAAAACTATAATTATTTAGCCTCATGTGCATAGAATATATGGAAATATATTTTTTTGAAGTTCACTGACAACTAAATTTCACTGACAATGATATTCGTCGAATATTCGTTGCACATTGAACTCCATTTTGAAGAAACGAACGGAAGTCACGGAATGACAAATAGAGGAAGCGATGGAATGCTCTTTATAAATCGACTTTTTTCTACTCTGTTTTTTACTGCTACATTATTTCAACGAAAACATAAGGATCTTTTTTTAACGACGGTGTAATTTGGAAAAGAAAATTTCGTTATTTCATATATACGAAAGCTGTTGTTTCATTTTATGACCAATTTTGTAATTGCAAATATAAAAATGCACATATTAAAAAAATAATTAAAGTATAATAAAAGAAATAATAAAAATAAAAGTATATTAATTTATGTATTAGATGCTCGCAATAATGCTCTTTATATATATTATTGGATAAATATGTATGTAAATGCATGTCTTTTCAATATCTTCTTTATCTATTTTAGATAAAAAATTAAACATATTGTACAATTTGCAATTTAGAAAAAGATATTTTACAGCAACGAAGTAAATATAAATTTTATAATTTTATATTTCTTTAAATATTTTATTTATGTTAGAATATTTATGCATCCATTCTATATATTGCTTTTATCGTCTATATGAAAATGAGGGTAATTCTCAGAAATGATAAATTTCCTTGAATTTCTTGCCTTTTCTAAAGTCTTTCTAATTTATCATTCCTACACAATCTGACATTTATTTATTGCTCGTGATTATTTATTATTTATCTCCATCTGACAGCAAACGTATTTAAGAATACGCATAGATTATTTTTTGCCGTTTCCTCGGTATCTTCAATGATTGATGCTATTACATACAAGGAGAAATATAAATCAAAGACTGATAAAAGCTTCCTGATTTCTTTGACTTCTCTCTCTGCTTCCCAATTTCTTACGGAAAGCTTTTTTCAGCAACGACGAAGTTTACGCCTCTGCGCAAACGTCAGCATCGATCAAAGGATTTGCTTGTTAGCGACACACCGATGAAAGTGAGTCTATCACCGTGTGGAAGAAGGTCGGAAGGAAGGGGTTGTCACATCACATTCTTTCTTACGACCTAGAAGAGACATCGTTATGTGTACCTTGTAGAGCCGAAAGCAGGGTGCTTTAGGTGCATTTCTCTTCAACCCCGTCTAACCGCCGAGCATTCTCCCCTTTGCGATTCGCTCTCGAAGCTGGAAAGTAAGTTTTCAGCTGATTACAATATGACTTTATTGTAATTAACCTTTGCTCTGAATCAGTCTGCTCTGAATTGAGCGAACACAATAATAGTGGAAATTACAATGACGATTATTCACGATAGACATATAAAATTACAATTACAATTGTTATTCACATAGTTATTGCATTTATTATGTAATGTCTATTATTGTGCAAAATTGCTGTATTGTAACATTAAAATGTGCATATATTAATATACAATTACATTGTACAGTATGTTACATTGTATTGAATTTTAAATGGTAAATTTAATTTAATTCAATTCTTTTTATCAAAATCATAATATAAGAATTCATTACATTTTTTTGCCTATAAAATGAATGTAATGAAAGTAAGAAAGTAGTACTTTGCATACAAATGTTGCTACTTGCTGTTAACTAAAATTAGAATTCGATACCGCCAAATTTATTTCTCCGAGCTTTTCTCGCTAAAATTTTCCCATATCTGATCTGAGCAAAGAATGAAGCGTAAGATGTAATCAAGCGTTCTAACACGATCTCGTGTTCTTTCAAGTCGAACGCTTCTTTAAACAGCACCGAAAGCGCTGCTTTCCTACGGTATAAAAAGATTATTGTAGGTGATTCCTCGATTTGTAATCTCCACGATCGAAGGTTTTGCGGGCACTTAATTGTGAAATCGGACTTCGACTTTAGTTGAAAAGCTAGCGAGAAACTAGGTTCTGCCAAAAAAACTTTGGTTTCTTTGCTCACCATAATAAAAATAAAAGAAATTATAGAAGACAATTGTAATCATAATTAAAATTATGCGATTAAAGATACAGAATATTTAAATTTACAAAATGTTGCAAAATAGTTTCTAAATAGTTTTTTGAAATGATAAACAAATTTTGTATGTGATTTTGTGTGTGAACTTTTTGTATGTTAACCTTTTTTACATTTCTGAAAATATATTTCAGTGGAGAAAAAACCGGTATATACTATATGCCATGCAATCGTTTATTTTAGAGAGAGTTTATGCCATGCAATCGTTTATTTTGCGATTCTAGAGATATTGATATCTTGAAAATAACAAAAAAATTGTGCCCGATTTGTTTTGTTCTCTGTCCATACAGCTTTTTCACGAGTATCTCGCGGATTAAATTCGACCTCGCTCGAAACCATCTCAGAGATTCGAACAGGAAAGCGTCTTTGGAATCTGGGTTCTAAATACTAGAATTCGAAATTCGCTCCGAATTGGTGATTGCGTTGTTCCAAAATTCAAGTTTCGGCAAACATGCGCCTGAACTCGAACTCCTTTTGCATTAGTAACAACGCGGAGTCTTGAACGAGCTCGATTCTTAAAATAGGTGATACCATGGCACGATTATTCCCTAGACGGCCTTCTTAATAAAGCTACCCGCTTAAGTAAGATCAACAAGTTAGCTTCGTTACCGCGTCACGTATACGCTCTTGTGTACGCGCTCAAGCGGTCCTTTGTTTTCCACAATTAAAACGCATTCTCGTCAACAGAATGGACCGGTATTCATGGACCGGGAATAGATGCTTTCTCGTTGTGTGAACCTTTTGCAACGACGGACGATTGTCACAAATGCACCCAAATGCATTTGGTGGTAGTAGTTATAGGGCTTCACCTGTCGTCGTCGTGCTTTGACGCGTCCGCAAATTGATCCGCGATGAAATCCGCTCGCGGTTTATTAATTAACGACGGCATTGTTTCTGAAAAGCTTCGTGGTGTGCGAATTTAACGAAGCGGTTGGCAAACTGCAAGTGTCGCGGTCTCTTCATCGTGGGAAATTCTGATGATATGGGGCATAGACCATTATCGCTTGATCGTACGTGAGGTACATTAAATTCGCGCGGTTATCTAATGAATGTCATCCAACAGAATATCACGGAAACATTTACATAATTATTATGCGAGGAATCAAGTGTAATGTAGGAAAATTTCATAGTTTTGAAAAGGAAAGAATTTATATATGAAATAAGAATTTATATATCACATATATTCTTGTATCATTCCCATATCATCAGAAAAAGATATTTATAGAAATATTGCTGTATGAAAAGTGCGCTTTAAACGATCTATTTAATTTCAGATGGAATATTAATTATAATTTTACGTACTGCGCATTTATTATATATTTTAGAATATCTAGGAGTATTATAAAAAATTCTACCTTAAATTATAATTTATATATGCATGTCACATACATTTCTGTATTATTCCCATATCATCAGAAAAAGATATTTATAGAAATATTGCTGTATAAAAAGTGCACTTTAAACGATCTATTTAATTTCAGATGGAATATTATTTATAATTTTATGTAAAACGCATTTATTATGTATTTTAGAATATCTAGGAATATTATACAAAATTCTACCTTAAATTATAATTTATATATGCATGTCACATATATTCCTGTATTATTCTCATATCAGGAAAGGATCTTTATAGAAATATTGCTGCATAAAAAGTGCGCTTTAAACGATCTATTTAATTTCAGATGGAATATTATTTATAATTTTACGTGCCACGCATTTATTATGTATTTTAGAATATTTAGGAATATAATACAAAATTCTACCTTAAATTATAATTTATATATGCATGTTACATACATTTTTGTATTATTCCCATATCATCAGAAAAAGATATTTATAAAAATATTGCTATATAAAAAATGCACTTTAAACGATCTATTTAATTTCAGATGGAATATTAATTATAATTTTACGTACCGCGCATTTATTATATATTTTAGAATATTTAGGTATACAATACAAAATTCTACCTTAAATTATAATTTATATATGCATGTCACATACATTTCTGTATTATTCCCATATCATCAGAAAAAGATATTTATAAAAATATTGCTGTATAAAAAATGCGCTTTAAACGATCTATTTAATTTCAGAGGGAATATTAATTATAATTTTACGTACCGCGCATTTATTATATATTTTAGAATATTTAGGTATATAATACAAAATTCTACCTTAAATTATAATTTATATATGCATGTCACATATATTTCTGTATTATTCTCATATCAGAAAAGGATCTTTATACAAATATTGCTGTATAAAAGATGCGCTTTAAATAATCTATTTAATTTCAGATGGAATATTATTTATAATTTTACGTACCGCGCATTTATTATATATTTTAGAATATTTAGGTATATAATACAAAATTCTACCTTAAATTATAATTTATATATGCATGTCACATATATTTCTGTATTATTCTCATATCAGGAAAGGATCTTTATACAAATATTGCTGTATAAAAGATGCGCTTTAAATAATCTATTTAATTTCAGATGGAATATTATTTATAATTTTACGTGCCACGCATTTATTATATATTTTAAAATATCTAAGAATATTATACAAGATTCTACCTTAAATTATAAATAAAATTCTTTCTTGAATTTTATCACAAATTATAGATCATTAAAATTTAAGAAGGAATATGTATGTTGCATAATATTCTTCCGCTTTTATAATTCCAATTAGCATTTATCAGAGAAGTATCTCTTGCCCGGAGCAATTTCATCGTTATTTTATATTTAATAAAAAGTTAGTTATTGAAACAGTAACCGTTTCAATTAGCAAAATTAGTGAATACTTTATTGCTCCGAGCTACAATGCCGTACGTTTGTGTCTGTGCAAGCATATCGATATTTAGCTTACAAGTAACAAGAGACGGTAGGAAACTATTCCGGAAAATGGAAATGGAATATAGTTTATTTATGCACAAGCTAACAGCCCTTAAAAGCAATTTTTATTATTTATATTGCATCGTAATATTTATATTCGTTAAAATATGCCAATCATTGTATCAACGAAAGTCTTCTCTTTAAATTTCTACATGAATTGCATATTTATTTAAAGAGAAAGAATATTATCCTCACATTTTTTTGTGTCTACTATTCGTTCGCAAATATCAAAATATTACTGCGAAGCTTGAATATCATTCCGATAACAGACATGTTAATTAACTGAGCTTAAAGCGGGTTTATATAATTCTAAACTTCAAACGGATTTAATTAGCTGAAACAACATTTCTCTTTATACATCAAAATGCTTATTTCCAAGTTATTTCGGTTGCTATTTCATCAAAAGCTTCGATAATTATCATTCTTATTGTTATTAAAGACGAAGCTACGAAGTACGCTCGCATTTAAATGTCACAATCTTTGCTTCGCCACGCAATTAGTGTACAAGGGGGGTTTAATAGCGAATAACTTCGCCAGTTTCAACATTAATTCGCATATGGTTCTATTCAGTTAAGATATTCATTTGAATATTCTGCGAGATTTTCACGTAGTTTTGATAATGTTACAATTCACACATACACACACAGCCAGCTGTGATTGCACGAATTCAATGGTGCTCGACATTCTTGGGAATCTTTCGAGCTGTGAAAACGAAAGCTAATCTCGAAAAGCGACGACTACATTTTTTGAATAGTTGTTCTCTTTATAATTATATGACGAGTGTTTTAATGTATATTATTAGAAGATAGGATGCAAAGAGGATGACGAAGGTCTTTGTTTTAAAGACGTACATCGTTAATGAGTGAATAGTACACGGTGGTTGTCTCCGCGCGCGACAGGGAATGAGAGCTTTTGTCTACCGTTCCTTTGCGTGCCCTCGCGAATGCAATCGACAACGGCGTCTGGCGTTATTGTTCCACTCGTCAACGTCATTGTCAACGATGGGCCGCGTGCGGCTATTCACAATTCCTATTAGCAACGTATCTGCTCTCCTACGTTTGCCGTGTCTGCGATTGATCGAACGCACAACCTCTACATTAATTTTACGCTAAATTCCTTAAAAAAAATCCCTTGAAATCCATTAAAATTGTCAAAAATTCTCCATTACGTACTTGAACACTTCATTCTTTGATAAAGAATATCTTAATAAATAATATTTTAAAAAATAGTGATATATAAAAAATAATAATAAATATTAATAATAAT